GACCTCCCATGCTCATGGATTGGAAGAATTAATATTGTGAAAATGACCATCCTACCAAGAGCAACATATAGATTCAATGTAATCCCAATCAAAATCCCCATGACATACTTCACAGAATTAGAAAAAAAAAAATCCTTAAATTCCTATGGAAGCACAAAAGACCCCAAATAGCCAAAGCAACCCTGACCACAAAGAGCAACGCTGGGGGCACTATTATACCAGATCTCAAAATATACTACAGAGCTATAGTCATTAAAACAGCATGGTACTGGCACAAAAATAGACACATAGATCAATGAAACATCACTGAAGATCCAAACCTGAGTACACGCAATTTCAGCCATCTGATAATTTGACAAAGTTGCCAAGAACACACAATGGAGGAAAGACAGCATCTTTAACAAATGGTGCTGGCAAAACTAGATCTCTACCTGTAGAAGAATGAAACTAGATCCTTATCTCTCACCTTGCATGAATGTCAACTCCAAATGGATCAAAGACCTCAACGTGAAACTGGAAATCCTGAAACTATTAGAAGAAAATATTGACAGTAACTTACAAGACACAGGTGTAGGAAAGGATTTTCTAAATCAGACAGAAGTTACTCAGGAATTAAGGTCAGCAATCAACAAGTGGGACCTCATTAAACTAAAAATCTTCTGTAGAGCAAAAAAAAAAAATCAAAAAAGTGAACAGAAACCCCACAGAATGGGAAAAAATCTTCACCAGTGACACAGCTAACAGAGGTTTAACACCCAGAATATATAAAGAACTCAAAAAAACAAAGAATCGAGAAACCAAATGACCCAATTAAAAGATGGGCTAAAGATCTAAACAGAGAGTTCTCAAAGGAAGAACTAAAGATGGCTAAAAACCATCTCAAAAAATGTTCAACATCATCAGTAATTGGGGAAATGCAAATTAAAACCACCCTAAGGTATCACCTTTCCTCAATCAGACTGGCTAGGATCAAGAGAACAAATGATACCAAATGCTGGCGAGGATGTGGAGAAAGGGGAACTCTCATTCACTGCTGGTGGGATTGCAAACTTGTGCAACCTCTATGGAAAAGTGTGGAGAACTCTTAAAAACAATGTGGAGTTCTCAGCATGGAGAACTAAAACTGAACCTACCATATGACCCAGTTATACCACTCCTTGGCATATACCCAAAGAATTCATCCTATTGTAGAGACACTTGTACAGCCGTGTTTGCTGCTGCTCTTTTCACAATAGCTAAGAGATGGAAGCAACCTAAGTGTCCCTCGACTGACGAGTGGTTAACAAAAATGTGGTATATTCACACAATGGAGTTTTACTTGCAGTAAAGAAAGATGAAATTTATAGGTAAATGGATGGATCTAGAAACTGCTATACTAAGTGAAGTAACACAGACTCAGAAAAACAAATGACGTATGTTCCCCCTCCTACGTGGATCCTAGCACCAAATCCTTTTCTTAAAAATATTTTTTTTATTTTATGTGTATGCATGTATTGCCTGCATGTAGGTAAGTGCACTCGTGTCGTGCAATGCTTGCAGAAGACAGAAGAGGCTGTCGGATCCCCTGAAACTAGAATTACAGACAGTTGTTAAGCTCCCTTGTGGGTGCTGGGATTCGAACCCGGGTCTTCTGCAAGAACAGTCAGTGTTCTTAACCACTAGGCCATCTCTCCAGCCCACACCAAATCCTTTTAAATTCCATGTCCTTTTAGTAAGATGATGCTGTACAGCAGTCTCTTCTGCATGAAATAACTACCATCATCATGACTTCAGCTAAACATTGTCACAACTGGGCTTGTTGATGGTTGTGCTCATTCATTAAAGGAGGGCCAAGCAGGGTCATTGGACCCTCACCAGAGTATCCAGCCACTCTTCTCTGCCAACTGTATGTAATTTGGCCCTAATCACACATGTCTCCTGGATTTGGGGAGGGCTAAAGTATATAATCTGGGGAAGGCTAGGAAGAGAAGGCATGACCCATGCTGGGTAAAGGCTTTCCAGTGTGTATACCCTCAGGTCATACATACACCTCAGCAACCCCTCAATTATCTCGGTAAGTAAGCTCAGTAAATTCATTGGTTCCCCAGTAAAACTTTAATCAAACATTGGCTTGACACTAGAACCTTAAAAAGGAATAAGCATTGCTTAATAACCCCAGGAAAAGAATTCTCACAACAGATTGAAAATTTATTTGTTAATGCTATTATGTTCATAATTATTTTTTTTTAAAAAAGAAGAAAGAAGGTAGGGCGTGGTGGCGCACGCCTTTAATCCCAGCACTCGGGAGGCAGAGGCAGGCAGATCTCTGTGAGTTCAAGGCCAACCTGGTCTACGTAGTGAGTTCCAGGACAGCTGGGGCTACAGGGAGACCCTGTCTCAA